ATAATTATAAGGTGTGAAAGATAGATGAAATTGTTAATGTAATCATCACCGTTGAGGTCTGATAAAGACCTTTTGTGCCCTCTGTAATGCTTTTTGCGCTACGGCTCACACGATGAGCATGAGGTGCACAACAAATTAGCCGCTTCCGGCGGCAACAATGAAAACCCCCCACTGAACTTCATTTAATACCTATATGCCTGTTAAGTATAAGATATCACCTGTTAATAGCATTATATTGTGGTTTTAATATTGAGCAACAATATATATATATATATATATATATATATATATATATATATATATATATATATATATATATATATATATATATATATATATATATTTATTTATTTATTTATTTATTTATTTATTTATTTTCTACACACACACACACACTCAAACATATATAAGAAACTTATATATTTTGACCATTTCGGACACAAAATGTGTGGGATCCGTGGTGTGTAGGAAGTGTGTAGGGAGTCAACAAGTGTGTAGTCCCTCTGTCCCTCGTCTCACCATCATGGCTCTAAGAATGACTCGGTCCCGTACTCAGAGGGCTAATTTACAAGTCAAAAGAGAGTGCGAAGAGCAGAGTGGAACAACTAATATAAATGAGGATGTTAAACCTGAGGTGGGTGCCAGGGTACTGTGCTCGCCTGTACAGTACTGTGCTTGCCTGTACAGTACTGTGCTCGCCTGTACAGTACTGTGCTCGCCTGTACAGTACTGTGCTCGCCTGTACAGTACTGTGCTCGCCTGTACAGTACTGTGCTCGCCTGTACAGTACTGTGCTCGCCTGTACAGTACTGTGCTCGCCTGTACAGTACTGTGCTCGCCTGTACAGTACTGTGCTCGCCTGTACAGTACTGTGCTCGCCTGTACAGTACTGTGCTCGCCTGTACAGTACTGTGCTCGCCTGTACAGTACTGTGCTCGCCTGTACAGTACTGTGCTCGCCTGTACAGTACTGTGCTCGCCTGTACAGTACTGTGCTCGCCTGTACAGTACTGTGCTCGCCTGTACAGTACTGTGCTCGCCTGTACAGTACTGTGCTCGCCTGTACAGTACTGTGCTCGCCTGTACAGTACTGTGCTCGCCTGTACAGTACTGTGCTCGCCTGTACAGTACTGTGCTCGCCTGTACAGTACTGTGCTCGCCTGTACAGTACTGTGCTCGCCTGTACAGTACTGTGCTCGCCTGTACAGTACTGTGCTCGCCTGTACAGTACTGTGCTCGCCTGTACAGTACTGTGCTCGCTTGTACATGAGCCATACACCTTCTTCGACATTTTGGCCTGCTTGTTAGACTACAAGTCCAACTTCCTCAATCCTCGATCGACTTGTATAATGGTTTTCAAGCCCTTTTTGGTTAATGTCATGTCTATCTTTGAATCTGTGTATGGAGTCTGCCTTCACTAGTTTTAAGTTTATTTGTTTTTCCAACCAGCCTGGACGGTAGACCGACAGTTTCTCTTCATGCAGGTCAGCGTTCAATCCTCGACCGTCCAAGTGGTTGGGCACCATTCCTTCCCTCCCGTCCCATCCCAAATTCCTATCCTGACCCCTTCCCAGGGCTATAGTCGTAATGGCTTGGCACTTTTCCCTGATAATTCCCTCCCTTGATGTATTGCATTTGTTTACTATTCTGAGACTGATATTTTGGTTTTGTTATAATGTGTGTGGGTCATTTGGGTGTTAGTGCCTCCCACCAAACACACACCGAAACTACGACGTTGGTACAACGTTCGAACAAGTTTTAACACCTAACCAGTTATAACAACCAATATAGCAAGTTGTAACAACATTCTAATACGTCATAAACACGTTAAGCCAAAATGTAACAACTTTATTAAAAGTTATAACAAGCGGAAAATAGAGACAGTTACGGTTTGTGTTTCCAGGGCTGTGCCTTGTTCACATAGTGTACTGCCCCTTGTTAAAGTGTATGTGATTGTCTCACCTGTCACTTCCAAGTATTGTGTAGGTGATCATGTCTGCCCTGAATTTTCTCTTCCAATGACATTAAATTAAATCATATCCATTAAATTAAATCAAATCCATAGCTGTATTTTTAAATAGTTGTGCATATTATTATAATTATTTTTTTTATTAATTTATAAGTTTGTATATAGTTTACATACAGTAGTTTTTTTTTAAGATTTTCCTCCATAGTACAATAGTTACATTCTGGATTAACAGTCAGAGATCCCAGGTTCAATTCCTGGGTGGGACAGAAATGAGTGGGCACATCATCTTTCACCTGATGGCACTGTTCACTTAGCAGTAAATTTAGTACCCTGGTGTTAAGCAACTGTTGTGAGGTTGCATCCTGCAGAAGGTCAGCTGTTCGACCTAGTTGGGAACTTGATACAAGTACAGTATATATATGTACTGTATACAGTATTATACACAGGCTTTCTGTTCACAACAAAATAAATTATTATACCTTGCAGCTTAGGACTAAACTAGTGGCACACCTAAAACTTTCTCCAGTTTTGTCTTATGCGAGGTGAAGTGATGCCCTTCACATCTCCTCGTATAACCTTCACTTCACTTAGGCTGTGTTACCTGAATTTACCACAATTTACCTGAAGTTTTACCCGAGAGCCACTAACATTAGTGGCCTCAACGAGGGCCGGCAGCTTGTCAAAGGTCCCTCCCATTTGCCTTGATGATCTTTTCCAGTTGTGCTTTAAAAGTTAAAAGAGTTTTGGCTTTCACCTTGTGGGTGAAAAAGCATCTCATGTTCTCAGTCCTACATTGTGGCTTGTTGAGCTTGAAACTGTTGCTCCTTGTTTGTGTTACATCTGCCCTCCTGAAGAAATTTTCCAGATCCACATCCTCCAAATTGTTCAGTTTATTTATTTATTTTTATGTACACACAAGAGTTCTTACATTCTTGTAAAGCCACTAGCATGCATAGCATTTCAGGCAGGTCCTTAATCCTAATTTTTCCCTGGAATACGACCTGCTAAATTGTTTAACAACCAAGTACCCATTCACTGTTGGGTGAACAGAGGCTACAGTTAAGGATTAGCACCCAGTCAATCCTCCCCGGCCAAGATACGAACCCAGGCCAAAGCGCTCGTGAAGCTCTGGGCGAGTGTTTTACCACTGCGCCAGTATTTAAAAGTTTCAATGATATATGCACTGTCATGCCTGGTTTGCAGTGTTGTTAGCCCTGTGGCCCTCAACCTACAACCGTTAACCCTGTGCCCCTTGAGTCATTATTCAAATTTCTGATGGCAGTTTTTCTATTGTGTGACCTAGCATACATTGTTAATAACAACCATTTGATGTAGACTTCAGGAGACGGGATTGTATGATATCAACTGCAAAGTTTTCTGTCTGATTGTTTGTGCTGGCCTTAACAATCTTGATCACGTAACCTGTAACTAAAACATGTCAAAATGTCAAAAATAGATGAATTATGTAATTTAAAAAAAAAATACATACTGTATTTCAAAAAATTACATACAGGTCAATAGAGCTTCGGTTCACACACGTGGGGTCCTTGGTTCGAGCCTCCTAGTGCCCAGGTGAATGGAATTGAATTTTTTACTTCATACTGAGAGAGGAGTGATGAATTACATTTTAGATATCTAAAAAGGAAGTCATCTTGTTATCTTGAGATGATTTCGGGGCTTTAGTGTTCCCGTGGCCCGGTCCTCGACCAGGCCTCCACCCCAAGGAAGCAGCCCGTGACAGCTGACTAACACCCAGGTACCTATTTTACTACTAGGTAACGGGGGCATAGGGTGAAAGAAACTCTGCCCATTATTTCTCGCCGGCGCCCGGGATCGAACCCGGGACCACAGGATCACAAGTCCAGTGTGCTGTCCGCTCAGCCGACCGGCTCTTTGTATGCCTAAAAGATGGACAACTTCCATAAAGCAAGATGGTGTACATCATTGGCACTACAGGGCTTATAGCATCCCTGCAGGTTCACGTTAAGTGCTTTGGCATCCTTGGAAATGTCATATCTTACACTAGAATATGCAAGAGGCCCAGTAATCTGTCAGACTTGACAGATTACTTAAACATTGCTAAACTTGAGCATTGCAGATTTCCAGTGGAATCACTGGTTACCCAAAAATAGGAACTCTAGTTACCCTAGAACTCTAGTTGTAGCCGGTCGGCCGAGCGGACAGCACGCGGGACTTGTGATCCTGTGGTCCTGGGTTCGATCCCAGGCGCCGGCGAGAAACGTTGGGCAGAGTTTCCTTCACCCTATGCCCCTGTTACCTAGCAGTAAAATAGGTACTTGGGTGTTAGTCAGCTGTCACGGGCTGCTTCCTGGGGGTGGAGGCCTGGTCGAGGACTGGGCCGCGGGGACACTAAAAGCCCCGAAATCATCTCAAGATAACCTCAAGATAACCCTATCAGCCAGTGACATACTATACTGATATATGCCCCTAGCATCTGGTGACACCACCTCACTTGACTAAAGGTACATACATCCACAACTGCCTCACATATACAGTAATTCAGTAATTTTAATAATAATAATAATGAGAAATAATATTTAATAATAATTATTACATGAGAAGACCTCTAAGCATAGAAAAGGAGGGCAGGAAAAGGAGGAGTAGGTATAGAACAAACATGTTAAGAACAACCACATCAAATACCTCCAGACGGTTACATAATGCATGAGCAAGCATGTATTGATAGAGATAGGGTGACTGGTTCCCATTGGTAACAACTAGTGACTTCACAAGGAATCTGTAATTCTTGAATTTGCGGATATATTACTGGGTTTCTGGTTTATTCCAGTGATGACTAAACCATCTCCAGTGACTTCCAAGCACATTGTATGATCTTATAGGATGCAATAGATCATGTGGCACTGGCGCTATATGTTGTTTTACCTGACTGAAGATACATAACATTATGGCATGCAAGGTGCATATACTTTATATCTATGGGAGTGGCATAACAACATACTTAGAAAGGAGCTTATTCACAGACTCAAAGTATACGTTTTGCCTTTTTTCAGAAACCGTTATTATTTCCTGTGACACCAGCAAGCAAACTGGCTAGAAGAATACACACTCAAATTAAATATGAAAAGGAACATAGCATAGAGAAACTTTCCTCACAGCAAAATGGAGTGGATCTTAGTCAAAACCATCATGAACCAGATGACCATCAGACCTTTGATGTGCACACCTGCCCTACTAAAATGGTAAGGCCAATTTACTGAATTACTGTATTGCATTTTAGTGACTTTTACTAAAAGTCAATAAAATTTTACAAAAAATACAAATTTTACTAAAAGTTTACAAATGGGAAAGTTTTACTTTCCCATTTGCTTAATTTTTCCTTATTTCAAAGATGCTTTATATGAATAAAATTTATTTTAACTGTATTTTTTTTTACCTGAATTTTTATCATTTTGTCACTATCTTTTGTGGCCTTAAATTTGACAGGAAGCTGCTCACTTGTCAATGGTCCCTCCTTTATTCCTGAGGATTTTTTCCAGGCTGAATTTTTATTCAGCTGTCCTGGAATTTACTGTTGTGGCAGAGTGGCAATTCGATTGGGCAACCCGTTCTCGCAAATTCGTAAAGTCAATATTGACTTATTAACTACGTGCATAGGTGATATACTAAACATAATAGATACCCCTAAAAAGATTCATAGAAAACACCGACCTTACCTAACCTTGTTAGTATCTTAAGATAAGCATCTTATTGCTTCGTAATTACAGTTATTACTTAACCTATACCTATTATAGGTTAGGTAATAATTGTAATTACGAAGCAATAAGATGCTTATCTTAAGATACTAACAAGGTTAGGTAAGGTCGGTGTTTTCTATTAATCTTTTTAAGGGTATCTATTATGTTAAGTATGTCACCTATGCACATATTTAATAAGTCTATATTGACTTATTAAATTTGCGAGAACGGGTTGCGATTGGGTTATTACCCCTGGGTGAAAAAGTATCTCCTGTTGTCTATCCTACACTGTGACCAGTTGAGCTTAAAACTGTTGGTTGTTGTTTTAGTTACATTGAACCTTCCAATGAAGTAGTCTGGATTAATATCTTCCAATTGGTTCGGTATTGTAAAGTCTTGATTGAATTAGCCCTGTCGTGCCTATTGTGTTAGGGTTCCCAATCTTCCCTGGTACAGTATGAGACTTGACTTAGTTCTGGGATGATTTTTGTTACTGTATTGAACTTTTTCCAAATTGGCTATATTTTTTGAAGATGAGGTCTCCAGGCTTGGACACAGTATGGTAGCTCAGATGGGGCACAATAGACTTGTACAACTGAATAACCACTTTCTTTTCCTTGATGTCAAGGATTTGCTTGATTATTTCTAAGGTTTGGTTACCTTTTATTATGACTGCTTCTATTTACGGAGCTGGTGGACCATAACTTACAGATAGTTTTCTTAATCAGTCACCAGAATGGTTGCATTAATATTGTAGTTATGATTTGTATTGCTATGCCCTACATGTGAGGTTTTGCATTTTTCAATACTGAAAAGTATTTGCCAGCCTTCTGACCATTTGTGGCATTCATGTACAGTAGATTGCTTGGCTAGGCCTCATTGTTTGTGGTTTGAAATTTTCTTCTTCTATATCATGGATGTATATTACAAAAAAGGGTTGGCCCAAAGGTGGAATCTTGTGGTACTCCACTCACAACAATTGTCCAGTCACATTCACTTCCATTTAGGATGATTCTTTGCTTTCTTTTGTTTTAACCATTGTTTGAGCCATTCTAATAGTTTATAAGCTTGCAGTTTTTGTGGTGGACTTTCATGAAGTATGTTATCAAAAGCTGCAGAAAAATCAGTGCACACTATATCTGCTGAAAGTCCTTTGTATAGTTGGTTACTATTGCAAAAAAAATGTGAGAAGGTTGAATTTAATCTTTACAAGACAATGTTTGTTACTTTTACAAAATTGTGCACTGTAAGATGGTGAATAATTTCCTCCCTCAAGGTTCTCTGTGAACTTGAAGATATTTAAGGTTAGGCTGATAGGTCATTAGTTTTCTGCTTCTCTTTTGTTTACTTTCTTGAAGATGATACAATACTTTAAATGATGGATTTTAAAATTGTTTTATTATGGACATTTTTCAAACATGCTCATAAATTCAAATTTTACTTTTAGGAAGGTAAAATGAAGGCATTAAAGCCAGGACTGCTAGGATGGGAACCTTCACACTGGCGGGAGGTCCTGGAGAACATTCACCAGATGAGAGCTACACGGGATGCTCCAGTTGATTTGATGGGAGCCGAGAAGTGCATGGATAGAGATTCCCAACCTGAAGTAAGGTAACATTAATATAAAGCAAATTAATAGAAATATTATGTTATTAAAAAATTTCACAATAGCTTTCTTGTGTTGTAGCGATTCTTATCAAGTCAGAATTTGTACAAACTAGGCAGACTTGTGGACAAACAAGTTTTGCTATACTGTAGTGAGGTTTTCTTGTATATTATGCTCAGTATGTCATTTACGACATCCTGAGCTCATGGGTGTATTGCGTTTGTAGTATCCCATCTTCCCAGTACTGTCATGTGACTTTTTGAAATTATTGATGGTTTCGACCTCCGATGCCTTGTCATTTAACCTGGTCAAACTGTCTCCAAGATGAGTTTTATAAATCTGCCAGTCCAAATGTATGCTGTTCTTGCTACATAGGCCTCCCAGAGTATTGATTTTAAGTTGAAGTAACCAATGTTACGGAGCCGCCTCCTATTTCTTCCCAAATCTGGCATTAAAGAGTCATATCCATTGACCCTGGGTTTTCCCCGAGATGCAGGGAATCTTTTGGGATACAAGGCGACCAGATTGGTCACTTAATTAGGGAGAAATTTGTGTTTATAATTTTGTAGGTATGGGGAGGAGGTCGTGCCCCTTGGTACAAACAAAATGGCGCCCCCTGCCTGCAAATCCGTCATTTTGTGGGCGACGCCAGCCGGCTGGGGATTGGCTGGCTGAGGTCACGTGGAGCGTCCGACCAATCAGGGCTCGCTGTGACGTCACCGAAAGGTGCTGGCTCGGCGCTAGCTGAGGCTTTGCTCAGAGCTGATTTGACTGTGGATGCAAGCGGTCGTGTGTCAAATAGCTCTAGAGGTTGGAGGTTCTGGGAGCCTCGCTCAGTGGATTATAGGCGGCCATCGCAGTCTACCATCAATGCTGAAGACCCTGTGCTCCTGGGAAGCAAGAAGCCAAGTTTAGTGGGCAAAGAAGTGCTGAAACTTGAGGTATTGGTCGGCGACAACTCGGGAGGCCTATCCCGACGCCCGTGAGTCTGAATGGTAGACGAGCAGGTCTGCAGTGACCGGGTCACTTCTACTGAGGCGCTGGAGGGAATACACTGTTTCTAGGTCAAGGAGGAAATGCCTCGTGGAAGGAACGAGTGTATACAGTGACTGGCTCAGTGACCACTGGTTGGACCAGGATTGGAATACCTGAACTTAGGGAGTGGCTCGGAGAGGACGCAATTGCTTCACGACACCTGAGGCCCTGCAACGAGCTACTGGATCATCAAGGAGAGGCTCAGGAACCGTGGAAACCTCACACCATCGAGGGACAGGCATAGTAAGCAGGAATATTGGAGGTAGATAATTTTTTCCCTCCCTTTACCCCTTGCTGAGTAGGCTAGTTAGGCCATCAAATAACAATATATGATATCAGTATATATATTAGTACATTAGTATTAGGATAGGCTATATACAGATGCTATATATAAGTATCTACATTCGTGTTCACCATAATGAACCACTAAGTTGGTATGCTGAGTGGCAGTGGCAGGCAGTGACAGCCCGCCACTGGCTGCCACTCCCTCCCTCCCTCACCTCACCTGACTTGCCACCATTACCAGTATCATAGTTTATTATTGATATACTGTATAATTATACTTGGGGATAAGCCTATTAATGGGTTAAAATATATAGATATACAGTATATTATAGGAATGGCCATGAGCCAGGCTTGATATATTGAATTAAAATTAAGGTACTATATTTTTTATGTCTTTTCAGGTGTATAGGTTCCAGGTGCTTATCTCCTTAATGTTAAGTAGTCAAACTAAAGACCAGGTGACTCATGCAGCCATGATGAAGCTACGAGCTCATGGACTTACTGTTGACAACATTCTGGCAACTGATGATCACACACTTGGTCAACTTATATATCCTGTTGGGTTCTGGAAGGTTAGCTATAAGAATTTTACTTGTACCTGTTTATATACAGCTAATCATGTGCTTTCTAAATATCCCTGGACAGAAAACCATATTTATTAGAAAAACTGGTTTTCTTCTTGCTTTGTTTTGTCTGTTTATCATCCTGCTCTGCCTGCTTATCATCTTAGTACAGCTATAATTTCTGAATTTATTAAGTTTAGACCAGTTCTTCAGTATTTACTTGACTCTTACAGCCTCAAGTGTTTGTTACATAGACCAGTCTCTCTCACTTTTGGGGACTGTAAAACCCTAACAAAGGCAAAGGAATGCCTTTCTTATGTTTTCTTTAACTGTTTTGGCTAAAAAAAAATATGACTTGCCATTTTAAAGAAATAGACAAGGTATACATCAGTGTTAGCTTAACTTGGTCGCATGATTGAGCAGTAGTCCAGATTGCAGATTTGCCTGTATATAGACTATAAGCTTCATTAATTTTACCTGATGAAAGATATTAGTAAATTGCATTAAATGGTGGTGTTTGCAGGTTTTCAATATCAGTATCAGAAGTACCACCCAAGAACACTTGAAAGACTCCTGCCAATCAAGTGTGCAAGTCTGACAGAAACCTTGCCAAGTCCCTAAGGAAAAGAGGAGGGGATGTCAGCCAGCCAGAATGATTCTGAAACCTCACACTGCATCCAGTAAACTGAGATGGACCCACACTCAGAAGAGGGCTGGTCCATCAACAAAATGAGTTCTGAATTTCACAGGAGATACTGAAGTATATCTATGCAAGCCACCAAAAGGTAAATGCAGGAAGATGGAGACCTCCAGAAACACGATTCTGAGGCACCTAACATTCCTGGAACCATACCCGAGGGAGAGCAGCTGAACCATCATATATAGAAGAGAGGATATCTTCTTCAAGCACAAGACCCTCAGGAGAGGAAACCAAGGTTCAAGAAAGATCAATGGGCACCCGTGGACACTCTTCAGCCTCCCATTCAGTCCCTGAAGCCTTCCACAAAGGCTCCAGGGCAGAGCTGTAGTCCTATCCCAACAGCTGGGACAGAAAGGTGTCACCACCACCACCACCACCAAGGAGAAAGGGGATGGGGGGGCGCTTGCAAAGACGATTGTCCCAGAAAGACTAGAAGGTTTAACTCCTCTCCTCTGTTAGTGTGGATGGGGCTACCCCTGGATATGTCTGAGTTACACCCTGAGCTGAACTTTGCCCCGATTCTTAAACGTCAGACACTTAAGCTGGAACCAGGAGGTGAAAACCAGAATCAAGGCAAACCATACTCACTGGAAAAGTTACAGGATGCGTGAGCTTTGTCTAGATGGAGGTCACCAACACCTCCAATTCCTGGTCCCTGAAGACTATAGGGGGCCAACTCTGGGGCATCCAACCAATCACAATGCTGTGAATGCCTAACCCCTAGCAAACCTATTATTATTAACATTTTCATTAACAAAATACAAATTTTTGCCGAATCTGAGTAATTCAACTAGTACCAAACCTAGCTCGCAAAGCAGCAGCTGCTTTAAAAATGTACATTAGATGTACATTTAATGTATACTGTATTATATTGTAGTACTGTATTAGAGTGCTCTAGTATATTAGAGTGCTAGATTAGAAGCAGTCAGTCAGTGCAGAAACCCAGGGGGAACAAACCCCACAGGACTTGGGGATATAGTTGTCACTGACCCAATAAGCAGCTTGGTGGAGGAAGAATGATCATAGTCTGGAAGTAAAGACGATGCGCATTCTTCAGACATGGCGAGTGTGGGCTCGATGGGCCAAACCAACTACGGCAAACGACCCATGAGGTGATTACCAGGGGCCTGAAGGCAACTAAGCAGAGAATCCAGGCACTGAGGCTGCTTCCCAGAAGACAGACACAAAGTGCCGCCAAAACAACCAGGCTATGATTGGCATCCACGGTATGTTGTAAAACAAACACCCAATTCCCAGTGCAATCAAGAGAATGCTCCCAGCCAACAGAGGAGTCAAGACCTATGAATTGCACTAAGTGAAGTTCTTCAACCCAGTGGCTTGGCCTCTTAGGGGGCAAAATCTCAAACACTCCAGAAAAAGATCTCTGAAGGTGCAGACTTTATGGATGCTTTCCTGGTACAGTGGCCAATTGTCACTCAACCCCTATATGCCTACATGAGAGCCAGGTTTCAGCTCTGGCTCCTGGTAAGCCAAACAGAACTCCTGCATCTAATAAGACCCATTTGCATTTGCATAAAACCCATTTGCTTCCCAAAAACAGTTCTACTGTGCTGGTACATTAAGTCAACCATGTGACCAGCTGAACCTTGTCATGGAGACCACAGTGTCCTTGTCCTGTTTAGAGGGAACTTCTCATACACTTAAATCCTGATTTTTTTGTATTTATAAAGGTGTGAGTGCAAATAATTTATTTAGTGTAATGCAAAAATAGTTACTTGTATGTAATACTTGAAGGTACTCATGAAAGTGTTTCTGGAAAATGGTCAGAGTTTTCTTTATTGTGTAATTAATTCAAATTGTGTGACAGGATCTCTTATTTGAATGTCTTTCAGAAAAAGATAACTTATATTCAGAAAACATGTGAAATACTGAAGAAAGATTACAGTGGAGACATTCCACCTACACTTGAAGAGATGTGTAAACTTCCAGGTGTGGGGCCCAAGATGGCTCACTTGTGCATGGATATTGGCTGGGGAAAGCTAACAGGCATAGGTAAGGTTCGAATCAACAGCAGTTTTAAGAAAATTGTGACTAGTATATTCTGATCTCATTTTAATGTAATGTCACATTTTTGGAAAATCATTTTAATGTCACATTTTTTAGGGTAGCCCCTTGTGGCTCACTGAAGCTGTAATGGTTCCCAACTACTAGATCACATCACCCACAGTGCTTGCTAGGTTTTGGGAGGGGCCGTTGAGGAACCCAGGTTCCTCCAAAGCCTGAGCCCCAAGTTCTTTCAGTGATGTAGTCGCGAACAGTTGACCACAGTATGGTCACCTCTCCATCATGTAGGCTCTACTATGTTTCAGCTAAATGCTTTTGGGACTTTACCTTTGTGGTGTTTGCACTGTAACACTGTTGTAATTACCTAAGTGTAGTTACAGGATGAGAGCTATGCTCGTGGTGTCCCATCTTCCCAGTACTCTTTGTCATATAACGCTTTGAAACTATTGACAGTTTTGACCTCCACCACCTTCTCAATTAACTTGTTCCAACCTTCTACCACTCTGCAAAAGAAAACTTTATAATATTTTCTGAGGGGGAGCCCCTATGGCTCCCTGCAGTTATCCAGGCTGATAGGGAAAGTGCTAACTTTTGGCATCAATCGATGTGGGTGGGGTTCTAGACCTACCGGGGACCAAGGCCAGAACCTGGCCAGAACCTGGCGGTTCACGTGCGGGGGGTGTCCAACGTCTTGGCTGACGGCCTGTCTCGTTTCATTCCTGCTGTTCAGTTGGGAGGGGCGTCTGAGTACCTCGCTTTGGGCATTGTCACCGTTCACAGAGATTACTTTAATGGTGCGCAATTGAAATTATTTTGTTCTAAGGAGAGGAGTATTTTGTGCGTGTGAAAGGTGGTGGTTTGAAAGATACCTGTGTGGTATCCACACCAACGGAAGACCTGTCCCGGTTCGTTCCCCTGTCCACGGAATGGACAGTTGACGCTGACTCATTCAGTTGGCTTTGCCAGACGTTCGGGCACCCGGAGGTGGACATCTTCGTGTCGGCGTGGTTGAGGCGTCTTCCGGTATATGTGGCGCCCTTCTCCGACTGCGAGGCTGTCGGGATCGATGCCTTTCGGCAGGCCTGGTCGAGGTGGGGGTTCCTGTACCTCTTTCCCCCGGTTCAGCTGTTGCTCCAGGTCCTGGCTCGCTTGAAGACTTACCAGGGGGCGAGTAGTCCTCTTGGCCCCATGGTTTCAGGTGCTGTTTGCCCAGTGTGTAAGCCCAGAGGTTTTTCTGCGGCTCCACCTCTTTCAGAAGATCGGCCCAGTCTGTTACGAGACTGGTTCGCTCTTCTCCTCGAGTCTTCGTGTTTGGTATTTTTGACTCGAGTTTATCACCGTTTGTATGGTGATCAGGTGGCTTCATTGATGGCGTCCCACTTATGTGCTTCGTCTCGGCAGCAGTATGATGTTTCCTGGCGGTCCTTCCATTTCTTTTTGACTCTTCGTCGTTGTACTTCGTTTTTGGTTCGGGTGGTGTTGTCCTTTCTCTCGTGGTTGTTCCAGGACCGTCATCTTATGCTGAATACTGTCGCCTTGTATCATGCGTCCCTGGCGGAGCCGCTGCAGCTTGCTTTCAGTATAGATGTTACTTCTGCGCCGTTTCGCAAGCTGTCTCGTGTGTTGTTTCACCTCCGGCTTGCTCATGCACCACCTGAGCCATCCTGGTCTTTGGACAGAGTGCTCTCCTATCTCTCTTCTCCTCAACTTGTTGTGGCCCTTTCGGTTCAGGATTGCTTTTTGAAGGCTCTTTTTCCTGTTGGCATTGGCCTCTGGGGGTCGGGTCGGGGAGCTTCATGCTCTCCTCCGGCGCAGGGGTTTCTGCTCTTTCGGTTGTGGCGATAGGTTTGTTCGTCTACAGCCATCTCCTTTTCTGGCGAAGAATGAGACTGCTGCTTTCTGGAGGGATCCTTGGGTTGTTGATGCTTGGTTGGTCAGGTCGGGGGTACATCATGAGTTGTGTCCGGTTGCGGCCCTCTGCCGTTATTTGCGCGCCACGGCTTCTGTGTTCTGCCAGGGACGTGCTTTGGGCTGATCCAGTTTCCCTTCTTCCCTGTTCTTGGGTACGGGTCTCTCAGGTCGTCCGCAGGGTTATTAAGTCTAGCCAGCCTGCGGTCTATCCCCGTGCCCATGATGTTTGTAAGTTCACTGCTCTTGTAGCTGTCTTTGGGTACATGTCCTGGGCTGACATTCGGGCACAGGGTTTTTGGCAGTCGAACAGGGTCCTGGCTGCACGCTACCTCGTTAACGTTCCTGGGCCTAGTCGGGCCTGTGTTGCTTTGGGTCGGCGGCTGCAGCCTGTCTCAACTTCGAGTTGAGTTGTGGAGCACCAACCGCCTCCCGGGTAAGTCCACTTTTTTCCTTAGTCTTTGGTGAAGTAGCTCCAGGGAGCCGTAGGGGCTCCCCCTAGAAAACCAGCATTGAATGTAATGAAATGCCATTTTCTGGGTGAGTCCCGGAGGCTCCCCGGTAACCCTCCCTCCCTTAGGTCGGCAGTTTTCGTGTGTTTTGATATCCAGCCTCGGAACTGAGGTGTGGATGGCTGGCACAGGGGGTCTGGGGCTTCCCCTTCCCCTCCCGGGGAGGGGGGAGCTGCGCAGACATGTGGCACGGCTCATGTGATATGCTCGTTTGCTCGTTTTCAGTTGGAGAAGTTCTGTCCACTTGTTTCGTTATTTTCGTTGGTTTCACCAGAATAGGGGTTTGTTTTGAGGCGCTTACCTTTCTGGGTGTCTGTCCCGGTCGATGTCAGATATAGAACATTTCAAAATCACATGTGCATTTCTATGGGCCATTGCTCCTCGTGCCTCTCTGAGGGGGCCAGATTCTGGCCGTGGTCCCCGGTAGGTCTAGAACTCCACCTCACATCGTCTGATGTCAAAAGTTCGGACTATTCCTATCAGCCTTAATAGCTCCAGGGAGCCTCCGGGACTCGCCCAGAAAATCGCATTTTATTACATTCAACACTGGTTTTTTATCATATCTGAACTAGTTATGTTACTTTTTCATCATGTTTGGACGGGTTCTGTTCCTTTTTCATCATATTTGAATGGGTTATGATACTTTTTCATCATATTTGAACGGGTTCTGTGGTTTTTTTGTATTATAAGAATGGGTTCCCTCCCTACCATGTTGTCGGGCAAAGGTCTTGAGTGTGTATCTGTTAGAGGGCTGAGGCCTTAGAAGGGGCCTGGGCTCTTGCCCCTCCCCACAAACAAGTGGGTGAAGTAGGGAGAACAAGTATGTTTTGGTTTAGAGATCCGATCATTTGTTTACATTGTTCGGAGTTCATGAGGCAGGTTGCAAGCCTTCGGTATCCTTTGAATCCAGCAGTGTTTTTTTTTGGTTTGGTGACTTTCTGAAGCAGGAGCACCTGCTCCTCTATGAGGGAGGCCAGGTTCTGGTTATGGTCCCAATAAGCCTAAAGAACTCAGTGACTGATGCAATCTAGTAGTTGGGAGCCATCTTGGCTTCAGAGGCTCACCCAGAAATTGATGTTTTGCTACATTCAACATATTTTTCTAATAAACATTTTCCACATGTAATTATTTTTTCATAATGGAGGAGTCGACACACATGTTCATCGCATCAGTAACCGACTTGGGTGGACTGGTTTTCCCACAAAAACACCAGAAGAAACAAGAGCTGCCTTGGAATCCTGGATGCCTGAAGAAATATGGAGTGACACTAATCTACTTATGGTTGGGTTTGGACAACAAGTATGCTTACCAGTGAGTCCTAAGTGTAGCCAGTGTCTAAATACAAATCTTTGTCCATTTGCTAGGAATCCTGTCAATAGGTCCCCAAAGAAGAACTACAGTATATTGAAATCGACAGCCAAGAAAAAGTAAAATTACCAATTCCTTAAAGGTATTAATCATTTACACTTGTGGTTTAGGTTTTGCTTTTCAACCACATTGTAAATTTTCTGTAATTTTTTATATTTCTAGTAAAATGATACAGTAACTGTTTCGTTATTTCCATTAAAAAACAATATACAGTACAGGTACTGTACTGTAGTTTTTGCGTCAATATGAGAAGCTGCTCATTTGTCAAACCTGCCAACCCACCTCCAAGTGGCAGAACCAACACATACTTAGGGTTCCTAAAGCCAGATCTTGTCACATTCTCATGCCAAAAAACAGTAAATAAGGGGTGGGGCTGGGAGAACCAGATGACTGCTCAGAAAGCTATGGTATGTCACATTGACCCAGTCATAACATTCAGGTTGTCAGTAACATAAGGCCTTTGATACAGATGCCTGAAAAACAGCAAAGGGTCAAAAGTGCTTACCTGTGGTGCAAAATGGTGATGAAGGAAGCAGGATGGAGAACACCCAGGGTGAAGTGAATGAAGGCACTACTGGTGCCCATGGATTAGGTTGACAATTAAGCCTAACACCATCACACATCAATGGAATGTGGTGAGCACATTAATGGGAGACTCAAACTATGTAAGCACTCTGAGCAAAATGTGGAAGAGAATGAGTGTGCAAATTATATAATTTTTGTTTGGCCTTCCTCCTACCACTGTAACTGGCGGTGGGAAACGTCTCTGGAAAGGTTACGTATTGGCCATACCCATTTAACTTGCAGGCACTTAATGAAGCGCTGCCCTGCTCCTTATTGTCCCAATTACGGTCGTGCATATCCTTATTGAATGTGCCAACTTCCAGGACGTGCGTGTGTCTTGCTTCTCGGCTGTCCCTTGCTGTTACTTGTCCCTCGATAGAATCCTTGGTGAATTAGATACTATTGATATTGTTCGCCTTATGCACTTTTGTTCTCGTATTGGCATCCTTAGTGATATTTAGCATCTTTTGAATATCCTGCATATTTGATAGTGCTACATAGCCTTCCCAGCTTGGTGCCTTCTTTTGATAATTGCTTACTTAGCCATGTTAAAAAAAAAAAAAAAAAGAGTAGCAATGAATCACCTCCAGACTTCAGTGCCTAGCTTAGTCCTAAATCACACCATCTAATCAACTTAAATTTACACTACTGAGAGTACCCCTGGTACCAAGGCATGTGTAGATATGTTGCTGTAGTTATCAAATGCAATAAATTTTTAAGATATTGCTGAAAATGACCTTCCATTACTGTATGTGCTAGCTTAAAAAAAAAAAAAACTGCTGATCCGAATATCTGGGATATCCAACAAAAATTGCAGCCGGATATTTTTTCTGGCAAAACATCTATCCAAATAGCAATTTGGATAACCTTAGATTTTGCCAGATAGTGCAGACTCATAGATTCTCATCAAGTTTGGATAACTTTCTGCCAAACTTCACCATATCTGGAAGCCATATGGGCTTCGCCAACGTTTTGCTGGATACGACAGACAGGCATTGAGCCATACTGAATTAATCTCAGCAGTTGCTTGAGGAGCAGAGAAGGAGAGATGTTGGGGAAGGGGTGTTTGGAGGGACTGTCCTCTGATCTGTATTGTATAGTGTCACGTAAATCGCCCACTTAGCAGTGGAATTGCCTCTTCCTAATACCTTCAATGCCATCACACTGCAATTCCATCTCTTCGAAGGCAAAAACCAGTAATTCGATGTATACCCCACCCGTCGTGCTCCATCATCCCGTACCAGTGCCAGGTTGCTCGCTGATGAGCAGTTAGCAGCTACTAACTAGCTGTTATGCATCCGCTAACTAGCAATTACCATCTCTAGTTGTTATACCACCAGCCACTCGTTACCGATACCGTTGACACAACATGACATCACCAGCAGGGATATAAATAGACCCACCTGCACCCACTGAAAACAGTCTCTTCTGTATGCTCTGAGAACCATTACTGCTTCCTTCACTCGTCGTCTCCTCACAGCTGTTGCCGTGTGCTGGTGGTAGTGCTGCTTGTAAATACCTTTGCCTCACCAGTTTTCTGGATAACTTAATTTGTGTATATTCTTTTTTCAGTTTGTTTTCTTGTATGGTCGCCAAGTGTGATCAGGTACTATTTTTGTTAGAATAATTCATTACAGCAAAAATTTGTGTAATTATAACACAAATTTCTTAAAAATTGTGTGTATAGGCTGAAGACTAGTTTTCTGCTAAAATTTGGGGATATTTATTTGTTTTCCCACCTAGTGGCTTACTAACATGCCTGCCTGCCCAAAGTACAAAGTAGACTATGTGCTCTTGACCCTTGCGTTATGCCACAGTGCCGTGCCGTGCTAAAAAGCTTTTTAGCTTTTTTTTTTTTGAAACATTAACTTTTTTGTTTTCATAATAACTTTGATCATTTTTGCCAAGACTGGTAGCAGCAGTAATCATCCTGGAGGTGTTAAGAGGAAGAAGGTTGTGCTAACACCACAACCAAATACTGTTTACTCATGTCTCCTTGTTGACATGTTAAATTTTCATCCAGCTGTGCTAATTCAGAAGTTTGTGAACACGTATGAGTACTTGAGGCAAACCAAAAATCTGATCATAAGAGAGGCCAATGAATGCAGGAGGCAAACAAAACTTGATTCTTATTTTGTAAAAACAACAAGCCGAGAGCCTTCAACCACTGATGCCTCACAAGAAAGCCAAAAACTTTCAACCGCTGAAGCCTCACTAGAAAGCCAAGAGCCTTCAACCGCTGAAGCCTCACTAGAAAGTCAAGAGCCTTCAACCACTGAAGCCTCACTAGAAAGCCAAGAGCCTTCAACCACTGAAGCCTCACTAGAAAGCCAAGAGCCTTCAACCACTGAAGCCTCACTAGAAAGCCAAGAGCCTTCAACCACTGAAGCCTCACTAGAAAGCCAAGAGCCTTCAACCACTGAAGCCTCACTAGAAAGCCAAGAGCCTTCAACCACTGAAGCCTCACTAGAAAGCCAAGAGCCTTCAACCACTGAAGCCTCACTAGAAAGCCAAGAGCCTTCAACCACTGAAGCCTCACTAGAAAGCCAAGAGCCTTCAACCACTGAAGCCTCACTAGAAAGCCAAGAGCCTTCAACCACTGAAGCCTCACTAGAAAGCCAAGAGCCTTCAACCACTGACACCTCACTAGAAAGCCAAGAGCCTTTAGCCAGTAAAGTTTCAGCAGTTAGCAGAACTCATTTTGCCAAGCTCATGTACTGTACATTAATTTTATTATTGTTACAGAAATTTCCAATAAGTAATGATTTGAAAGTATGCAGCATCAGTCAAAATGACGAACTACAACAAGGTACGACGAAGGTTCAGTTTTAAATTACACTACTGGTATATTTTTTAATATACCACTAGTGTGTGGAAATTAAAATTATGTTGGCCACCAGGGGTCTACATGACCAAATTACATAAGGACTCATCCTTTTACCATTACACATAATTGTTGAAAGTTTAAGCAAACATGAAAAGATACACTCAACATATTACATATAAACCTAAAACAAATGTACATAAAATGAAAACTGCGAGACATCTTTATCAGCGATACCTAAAGCAGTAAGGCATAATGCAAAAAAGCTCACGGACTTCATAGGTGCCACCTATACAATGATGCTACACTGACAGGATACTGTGATCTAATCTACTCACTATGGCACAGACGAAGTTGAAGTCGAAGAGTACTCTCCTGTAGTTGAAATAACCAGACAAGTAGGGTTCAACTATAAAACTGCCGTTATATTTAAGCAACAATTTAGTGTTGTTTCTGATGAGGTTTGAGACAGTTTCTTCAATTTGATATAATAAATGATGTTTACATTAATTAAAAATAATATATCTCACTACAAGATATTAAAGAAAGGAGGATTTAAGATCTTTTATTAAAATTTGTTCATTTGTAAACTATGCTCTGATAGTAAACAGCCGTTCCAACAGGCATACACATACAATTTTTCACTTTTACAAAACGTTTTCACTTTCATTTAGTGTTAACAATGATATAACCATCAAATCAGGAAGTCAACAGAGGAAACTGTTTTAAGTCAAGCTTAAATTCAGCACTTCAACAAAGACATCATCAATAAAATTTACAATGTCATGAACATGGTGCAATAAATGTATCCAAATGCAATATTATTATTAATATTTATATATGCACATGATGCAAAATTGTTTCAACAGCCAACAAAAATAATTTCTTTCACGAGTTTAACAAATTCTTACAAACTTTTGATTGAATTCATACTGATGCAATTCTCAAGTACAGTATTTTATAAACTATAACAATATTTTCACAAAAATGGAATCTCATTCAAGTCCTAACTAGGAAGTGCATCAGAGATGGAATCATTTGCAGACATTTCATTTTAAATACTACAATCTATCATTTGGAAGAGCAGAATCTTCCTGGGAAAAAATGTACTGTATTTGCTGTCCCAGTGACAAGGCATGTGTGTGTGTAACTCCTGTGAGCTAGCATAATATATTCACATATACAGTAATAGAACAAGGGGGAACACGGGGTACATTATCACCAAATCTATACCCAGAAGACAACAGATATTATTAAAACATACATACATACAAAAATTGGAGTCCAGCATAGTAAACAGTGAGGAAAGTGGTGTAACAAGAATTAGTATGAAAGCTTAGAGTCGAGTCACTTTATTATAGCAAATTAACCCTTTGTGTATGTTTCTCATATCAGTATGTGAAATTGTAACTAATGACAGACCACTTCATGTGCTAGTGTGGGCATAAAATTTAAAACTAAAATCGTTATCTTGTCCATAAAGCAGGATATGTACTGAAATGTCTCATAGTAAAATCTTCCTGGCCGCAAGTGTCCAATGTTCTGTACAAAACCAAAATTTTTGTTTAACTTTTTGCAAATGGTCCCCAAAATTGTATTCTGATAGTATATGCAGTGTTTGAGTACAGATTTTCAATGAGCAAGAGATCAACATGGTGGTTGTGAAAAGTTTTTGTTGTATTTGTATCAATGTGGCAATGGCTCCTTCTGAGCCACGACGGCCAATTTTCCTAATTCGCTGCATATTAGTGCAACCTAAAAGTTCTCATGTGCACTCAATCTGCACATGTACTTTAATGGGGTGTCCTATTCTCCCTCTTCATTGTTTTGAGACTGATGAGGATGTGAGGGAATCCCTTTGAATCCCTAGATTTACTGACATAACTATGGAACATTCTTTTAAAATGTCAGCTCAAAAATATATGAAATTGGTCATTTGATATATGTAAAGCAGCTAGTCAACAAGTAAACATATGCAGACTGAAGAAAATAAAACCAACTAGACTGGCATACCTAGATGTTTGAGTGTCACTAAACTCAAGGTGATAGGAAAATCATTAAAATACTGTTTAGAGTAGAGGAAAGCTTTTAAATTCTTTACTAAAATCAAAAATGAAATATCTTGAAAGTAAAGAATGCAACAAGTGTACTAAAATCTTAAGCAATCTTCAGAGTAGCAACAACAGAAGTTGAAGAGAAATTTAATAAATACCAAAGGTTGCTCATGTAAATGAAGGTGATTTCATGCTAAACTGAGCATTCTTGAGGAATTCATTTATACACTGGATGGTTAAAGTGTTTTATGAGCTGCCACGAGTAAAAATTCCCAGCTATATGAATAAAATAGCTGCAAAACTAGTGTCCTAATACAGCTAGTGCAGGTATATTAACAAATTTGTGCATGTTTGCAAAAACTGAAAATTTCACTTTAATGTTTTTTAATGCACATGAAATAGGCTTGTACTGGGAAAAAGTTACTTTCATACCCTTTGGTTTATAGTGGTAAAAGTGACCCCAACTGCTGGGTATAAAGCTCAGGCAATAAAGACTGTGTTGATACCTGGTTGATCATGCCAGTGCTTGTGGTACTCAAATTTAAATTACTGTATTGGTGAATGGAATAAGCTTGCAGCCCAGGCCACTGAAAAGGGCAAAGTCTCTTCCTGTGATTTATAAGGCTCAATAAAGTATATGGATAACCAGGAGCAGATTTCAAGTGGTTTAACCAGAATTTTATCTCCAAGGAAAAGATTCACCTCATAAAGGTTGGCCTGCCAGAGAGTAGTGATGGTAATAATAATAATCTATCTCATTCAGACATATTTAAGCTAACAAATAGCAATGTTTCTGGTTCATATGTCATATAGCCCCAATGTCTTAATGGAAGGCTCCCAGAAGGGATTAAGTGGTGTCCACAGCAGAAGCTTCTCCAGGAGACTTACTGTACAAGCCTTTCATTTGTAATACTACTTTCTTAATCCAACCCATGGACAAAGTCATCATTCAGAACTGCAAATATTTATACAGAGACTTTCTTCACAATAAGGATATTGTGAAGGAATTTGATCATCTTAGAAACAACTTAATGGTTGGAAAACACTTTGACTTGCCTTTCTTTTATTGGTGAAATAATGACCCATTGCTCTCTTAGGGCTACAAAGCCAGCAGAAGAAAGAGACATGCTTGAGAAGGCTACAAATATGTCTACATATTATGTAAAGACCTTAATAACTCAGTATATAAAAAATGTAAAACTTCTGTTCAGTTTTAAGTCTTGCCTACAAGCTGTATGTACTAAGGGGCTTTGCAGTGTGCTCTACCATATTATTCTATCAACTCATAAGTAACCCAGAGTAAACTGACTTAGTAACACAATCTGAGAATGGAGAGGAAAAGTAGGAGAAAGAACCACAATCAAAAGCCACCAAGGAAGCAATTAAGAATTAATTTTAGAATACAGCCCATCCTCCTGTTTGGATAGTACTTACAGTAACGATATGGACCATTGTACATATATTGTCGTAATTGGTAATTAGAAAGTAAGGAAATTTGGGAATATCGAATTTGGACAAACAGGAAAAGTTTTTGTATTTGTTGCTAATAAACCCTAACCTAACCAACCTAGACCTATAATACAGTACATGTGCTTTATACTAAGCCCTGGAATATTTTAGTTTGGTTTTTGCCTTATTTTTCCCGACTATAAAGTGATTACTGTAGTACCAAATTCTATCTAATCATTATATCAATATATGTACAATGGTCCACATAGTTACAATAAGTACAGTATTTTCAAAACAGGAGGATGGATTGTTAGAATATTATTCACTTTTGGACTCCATCCATAAAGTTTATAAGGTGTTGCAACTGTGACATACAGTACAATATTTTTACAAACCTTAAATGATGAACCAGAAATGACTCAATATATAATTATTTTACAAAGGAGATGGTCACCAGTTGTGTTTATGTGAGGCAACAATAACTTGCTATCATTGTCCCAAAGTTACAATAGTTTCAGAGATTTTGTATTTGTGATTTATATCATCTTTCTTGTCTCTTGAAAAAGCCAGTGTACAAATATGTGCGCAGGCACTTGCCCCTTGTGTTAACCTGGGGATGTCATTGATGTAGATGTTCCACAGGAGTGTCTGATCACATTATCCTCAGGTACACTTGCCGCTATAGAATTTAGTGATCATTTAGTAAGAAAATACAGTTCTAATAGTAGAGAAATTTAAAGAAATTTGCATAAATTAATAATTTTCATAAACTATTTGTTAGTTGTAGATGGCAAGTAGTAACTCTCAATTACAAAATAATTAACGTGAATCTTTATGTAAATATTCAAGTTAAAAATGCACTTCATGTAAAAGTTTAAATATAATATATTTGCAATTTTATCAAATTTATGTATATTATGAATTCATTTTAAAATCAACAAAGAGGAAAGAAGGCGGAGGTTGTCCCGGCCTTGGACAAATGCCAACTACAAAAGGTTAATTATTTTACCAAATTTTTCAGTCATATTTTCTAGCATAAATCCTCTAACTTAATAAAGCTTATATCTGACATGAAATATTATACAAATTAAATTTATACAAATGTGAAAAGATAAAATATTACTATGGTTATATATGCAAATACAGTACTCAAAAGTAAATCAAGGCAATTTATTTCAATTATGGCCCTCACTTGTTCATTTTGGTTAAACAAAATTTTGATTACCAATCACACATTTTTTCCTTAACTGCATATTCCCAGCTTCCTATGATTTATAGAGCATAGATTTGCAAAAACAATATATATATTGTAAGTGGTCTCTAACGAAACATTAATATTATATTACTAATTGTGGAAATAATCTCACCCATCAAACATATGGCTTGCAACAATGCAGATACCAGCCAGCTGGTAGGATATTACCCACTTAGTCCTCAACAACCTATTCTTCAATAAAACACTGTAAATATAAATATTTTCACAAAGCATGAAGTTAAGAAACAATTTTTTGTTCAGTGTGTAATTATCATCTTAACAGGGATGCCTGTAATACCTCTACATATAACTGTATTCAGGTAGAAACTCACTAACACACTTCATTTGTATCAGCAAACTTTGACAAGTACATGCCGAGGCTCGGGGAAACACAATACACAATATGTATACGTCAACAGTTGAACACAGATGTTCTACTTTTGATATAATTGCTGGTTTAGTTTGTACAGTTATGAAACACAATCAAAGTGCAAGTCTTGAATAATATTGTTCTACTGAGCACAAAATAAGAATGATTGTTTAGTTTGGTGCACTGGTTCTACCACAGAAGATGAGACTGAACTCAAGTTGAAAAGGGGACAAACAGATTGTACATTTGTTCAGGCACAACTACTTAAGCTTTATTAAAATATCAAGTGTTCAATAAAAAGAACATGTGATATAAAATTCATTTACCTCATATTCCATTATTGATCACATGGAATGCTAAAATTCATTTACCTCATATTCCATTATTGATCACATGGAATGCTAAACCTAGTCCCCAGCTGACTTCATAATTGTCAATCTTCTTGTAAAGCTGAAAAAAACATAAATGAATATAAACAAATATTAAAAAAAAATTAATAATCAAATTTAATAAAATAATTATTATAAAAAACTACACACACACACACACACTTAGTACTTTCTAAACCCTTTTTTGGGTACGTTTATGAACAAGCATCTTTCAAGAAATATGTACACACTTCAACTTACCTGACAATCCCTTTGAGATGATTTGATCTGTGAAAAAAATCTGTAATCCTATTTATTTTTCTATCATCTCAAATTGAGATTTATCATTTACTTTTCCCTGATTTCCCTCTTGACAACCCATAACCACTTTTGCTATTAACAAAATTTTAAAACCTCTTATATGTTAAGTAGTACAGTATTGCTACAATATTTCATAAATATTTTGGCACACTACATCCTACAATACATCAAAAGTACTTCCAATTTATTCCATAATTCTCTAGTTACTTTATCCAGCATGAGAGAAAGTTGACAACATTATTATTGCCAGAAACATTTACATGCTGTATTGCAAGCTTCCTGCACTTTGATCAACTACATACCTACAGTAAACGTTAGGTTTTCAGTCCATGTCAACAAGGACTTTATTCTCAAACAGTAACTCAATAGTAACTCGGACCAAAACAAAATGCAACTTAGTGATTTGCAAGAATGTAAAAATTCCAATATGTAATCTCATAAACCCATTGTACCTTCTTGTAAATAAATAAGTAAATAGTAGTTGTGTAAAAATTAACAAATAAGACACCAAGGGGTGTCTTATACCATCTACTTGTTTGTATAGGAGACCATCAGTGCTCAGGAAAGGTGCCTCGAGCAGCTGCGCATGCCCAAAATGCTATGCGTGCTAGTGGCTTTACAAGAATATTTAACCTCAATGCTATGTACTCTCATAAACCCAATGTACTTTCTTGTATATAAATCAATAAATAAATGTATGCTTATGGATATTCCAGAATACATTTAGGAGTACAAATGTGATCCCAATAGACAGTGCATCATCATCATTCCAACTGTCTCAATTGTCTGGTCATGTTAGTAAACAGTGACTCAACAACCAGAGATGATTTCACACCTGATACATGTGGCTCTTGCAATAAGTCGACAAATTCCATTAGAGACTTAAGGCTGAAAGTGCATGGCATGTATGGAGACAGCAGGGTGTTTAGTCATTAAGCAAGTCAAGTTGGCATGCATTCATACATACATACCCATTTATATATATGTATTATATATCTCAATTTTATTTTAATCTGGAATCGCCTTTCATTATTCTCTTTTTCTAGATTTCCCTTACTCAGTTCTATGTTCTTATCCAAACATATAAAAGTAAGAGGCCTTCTACCATAATGGTTCTTCCCCCTTCTGTCTTTAAAATAGTATTGTTTAGCAAAACTTTCTTGTTGCATCTTTCTCATTTTACACTTTACAATCACATTGCTTAACTCTATATTTTATTTCACTTGCTTCTTACCATGTCAAGGTAATTCACATTTTATAAAGCAGGTCATGATGGTAACACATTTTCCTATAGGAACTTCTTAATTTATCTATTGCTAATTTTTTAGGCTTTATCCATTTACAGGTACATGACCCAAACTTGCACAGAACCTGCTGCAATCAATTGTGTCTAAAACAATTACTGTACAGTAAATATATAACTCTTCTTCCAGTAAATATATAACTCTTCTTCCATGTAAAAACATTAAAGACAGATATTATTCAGAGATATTATATAAACTTACTTTTATAGTGGTGTCACCCTTTAGTCCATAGCCAGTGGTGAGGAATGAACTGATGAATGTGAGGTCCAGGCATGCCAGTGGCTGCTCCACATTGGGAATGTTGCAAGCTGTCACAATGAAATAACCATGAAGGTAAAATATTTTACTTATACCAGTACAGTGCTCTACTTAGATACTGTATATATTAATGTTACTCCAAGATGGGTAGCAGCATTGTCAATACAGTACATAACAGCACACCCAATCTCAGGTAGTTGACTACTGCACAATATTTACATAAAAACAACAATTTAGCTACAGTGCAGCTTCACTTAAACATATCAGTTTGCTCTAGACTGTCTGATCAATACAAATAATCTGCCATGTAAGATCTTCTGCACTTAACCCCGCGGAATATAACATGAGATGACCGAGCCTTCAAGATTGATGAAAAAAGTGATCTCCAAAGTAGCATGAGTCACCTGAAGATATCGGCACACTGCAACCGACCATATACGGTACAATACTAGTATTAATTTAATATGAGGGGGAAAGACAAATTCATACCAACTTTAAACAGGAGACACACTCCACCAAGACTGAATGGTACTGAACAACATTGAACTGAACAACATTGGGGATCAAGAACCACATAAAAATCCAGTATTGAATTTAATGAAATGCCTCTCTGGTGGGTGCCTGAAAAATGTGCCTGGTTAGCTCCAATTCTAATACACTCAACCAGGCTTTTGAGAGTAACATTCGCTATATAGTCTAAAAAAAATTAAAGCTAAAAACCAACAATCTTTTTTTTTCTCAGGCCTAGTATAGCGCATGCATTATAATTATATTATTATTATTATTATTATATATATATATATATATATATATATATATATATATATATATATATATATATATATATATATATATATATATATATATACATTTTCTATTTTTCACATGTGGTTATTCTGCATACTTGGATCAGTGTTTTTGTGATCATTGTTGCATATATACATACATAAATACATACATACACACACACACACACACACACACACACACACACACGTGCACAGGAATCGTAGCAGACGTGTGGAAACAGGCTAACATAGTTCCAAT